CATACACATCATCAACATTTGGATATAAGAAGTCTCAGGCGCAGGTAAATCCATATGATTTTACTTTCGAATAGACAGTATATAAAATGAACTAGATGAGTGCAAATCATGGCCAAAGTATATGTAAGTCTACATTCTAGAAAGTGTGTAGTCATAAATTGAACATTAGCAACCTAAAACTAAATACAAAATAAGCAATGTGTACCTGCTGTATATCAAATAGAATCCACGGTTCAACATTTCAAGTGGTGCTTGGATGCTGAAAACTGAAATCAGACAGGCAAAAAGAAATAAAAAGAACAAGAAAACAAGTATTAGAAAATAAATTAGAGAGAGCAGAAGCAAAATGATCAAGGCAAAGAGAAAGGCAGGTGTAAACTAAAGTGAAAGAAAAATGGCAGAGGATACTCATAAATAGAACAAGCCAAGTCTCTGTCTCACGTGAATAGGCAAAACCTTTCCCCACAGTTGGAGAATTAATTATATTACATGTTAGGAAGCAAGATTCCAGTTATATAACCACCAGAACGGTCATAATGACTTCTCAACAGTCAGAGAAGTAATATAAAGTCATCTGCATTATGTCAATAAAGGCTGACAAGTTCCTAGTGTCAGCAACATGTGTAGTAAGAAGTCTTTCTTTATGAACGCTAGATTCATAGTTTGCAGTCTTCTTACCTATTTATGGCCAACGAGCCTGTTCATCTGTTCTAGAGGCATCCACACAGTTAGAAGACATAAGGCTACTGGAATCATGTAAGCGAAGAGAAGAAACACCATGAGAGGCCATGCACTGATGATCATTTGCAAAACAAGCTGACATAAAAAAATTCATCCAGAAATGGAAGCTCGAGGGTAATCTTTTATGAAACCAGTCCAAAACATAAACACTCTGATTGGTTAATCTAGACTTACAATTAGTCATAGGCAACCATGTCATCCACTTCCTCTAGCAACACATTAATCATCATGCTAATTACCACACAATCATGGAATTCTTTGATCATTCAAAATAATTAACTATATATAAAAAATGTATGGGAAGCAACCAGTCTCGCAAGTTGTTTGCTAAAAAAGAAAAGGAAAATTCTCCATCCTGAGTCTTGTACTATTAGCATTTCAGGAAATGTAGTTTTATATAAATGCAGATGAATGAACCTGTGGGTGCATGGGAGGGAGAATGAAAATTCAAGTTGATTCCTACCTTATAATTTTGAACATTTACTGTATCACCATATACATACAACGCTTTCAACAGTCCAGTCCGCAATATGCTGATGTCCAAAACCCTTTGGGAACGTGGATTTAAGTCCTGACATCATATGATTCCCAGGAATAAGATGAGCACGTTTATTCAAAAAGTCCTGCACAATTCTCCAGACAAAGGTATCACTTAGAACAAGGAAGTTCGATTGATGTATGTGACATCAGACATCATCAAAAGAAATCTTAATGGGTGGGAACAAAATCAGAATTTACTGCTCAGTTCTCACCTTGAATTAGTAACGTTTTCATTCTGTAGAATGACTGCTCAAAATCCATTTTATGCCTGTGCCCACCCCACTTTACTAACAATCTATTTCTTCACAAGATAGAACCATATGCCATGTTGCAATGCTGTTATATAGTTGTCTCATGGAATCTTTCCTTCAATTGACTGCCTATTCAGCAATCAAAGAACACCATAGAAAAATGATTGTTCTTCGTTCATATACCCCTATAATAACAATTGACATAGCAAGCGAAAACTTTCTCAAGCCTCACACACTTCCATATTCAAGCTTAGCTTTCACAAATGAACCTGGAAATAGAACTTGAGCTTATTCTTTGATATCGATAAACACATTAAGCATGCCCTGCAACTAACTCTGAATTGTTCATAAACTGCTTGATTAGTTTGCAACTCTATGCATCCTCTAGATTATCCAGGCTGTAACAAGGCCGCATATTGTGACAAGTCATGTAATTTGAGTAATATGGCAGGCACAATCCAGGAAAGGGGAAGAGAAAGGAAATAAGGATACGTGGTTCTGGAGAAGAACAGGTGTCAATTACGTAACTGTTTGGGAAAGGAAATTATCACAACATACAGTTAAAAAATCATCCACGGCAGCTATGAAAGATTATAAAAGAAAACTAACAGCATCATGATTAGTGTTCACAAATAATTATGCAGACAGCTCCAACACTATAAAATGTGAGGGAAAGTATTTTAAGAGGAACTTAACAAGACGATGAAATAATATACTGTAGCAGAAGAAGAGAGAAGAACAAAAGAATGAATGATGAATATTCTTCAGCAAATTACCAGAAGAGAAGACACATTTTCCATAACTTCATTTGGAATAGAATATATCTCTATCCTATGCAGTTCTTATTCAGCACGTCTAAGTGTTTGTAAGATATTTCAATAAACATGTACTACTAAAATACCACCAATACAGAAGCACTCTAATGTTGCATTTCTAAAATGACCAACAAATCATGTTTCTCCAGCAAAGTAATATACACCGTTTCACATTGACAATGATTAGCTAATGCTCAGGTGATGAATCCAACCTCTCAAAAAAGCTTAAATTGAAGATTCTACATCTTTTATTTACTTCCTTTGTCTTTATTTAGTATTGCATCATATGCAAGGAAAGTATTACGGTCAGTGAGTACCAAAATGGTAAGAAGAAAAAACTGCTAGGTATCAACCAATCCATTAAACAAAATAAGTATACCCATTCTTTGAAGAAAGAGCATATATGCAAATAATCGATTCTTCAGACAGCTGTAAGAATCGAATAGCTTATATGAACAAAAGGAAAACATATTGGTATACAAAAACTCATTGCTCATCAATTCTTGCTTGATGTCTAAATGGTTCAGTTCACAAACAATAACCACAATTGAAATAACAATGATGACAATGGTAATGCAATAACCAGCAAGCGGGAAACCATGACGAATCCTATTTCACCATGGAGCTCGGAATAGGAAATTTTTTAAAGAAAATATTAACCATTGATTATTTACATTCACAGTCTTCTACCTGGTCCTCCCACACAGAAGCAAAGGATAGAGCACTATCTAGGGGCAAAAGTTTCTCCTGTCCACAAATGAACAAAGTAAATAAGCAAGTAAAAAAATTGATCAGCTGAACATAATACGAAGGCGTATGAGAACACCAATAACCTTCCAAGATGGTAACATCAGATCTAAGTTCATTAATGCATTGTTACTCCGCATTCAAGAACCAACAACCCTCTGGTCTCTATTTAATTGTCTAGAACACTATGTATTGCCAATATTAATTATCATTGATCAAAAAGAAAAAACAACGATGCAAGAAAGTTGTTGAATTGGTTACCAAGGATATCCACGGAATAATCAAAGGGTGTACAATACTATTTTAAACTAGATTAGATAACGCTATTACACTTGCATATCTGGAAAAAAAAAATGCTCCTATAAAAATCTACATCCACTAACCAATGCACAATCAAGTTCTGAATCACAAGCAAACCACTTAAAACTGCTAGCAGGAAATAGGAAGCATGACCACATTTCCTACCTGGATTTGACATCTGTCAAGTGAAATTCTGAGAGGTGGATTTAGAAATCATTGTTACCCTTCATGTTTTTGCATGAAATGACTACTCTTGATACTTGAACTCGCATTTTCATGCATACAAATCGAAGACCTAACCATTGCACTAAACAATGATCCCTAGAAAAATAACATGACTACATATGAGAAATTCTTGAACCCTCAATGCAAAGTTTTCATGTCCCAAAATTCAAATTGTGGTTAAAACTATCAGCATTTCAAAACATCTTACAATGTATTCAAATGCCGTAATATACCTGAAAATCCATGAAGTTTTACCCCACTTGCTCATCCCCAGACTTCTTTTTTTAGTATAATCTCAACCTGGGATTTTATTTCCAGAGATTATGAGTGACAACACAATTAAGTGGATGGGTTGTTTTCTAATCTTATCAGCAATGGAACACATTTTTTGTTACGTTTCTAAAGTTACTGATCTAGTTAAGAACTTCTAAATCTGGTGTGGCTTGAAAAAGTGTCACTTTCTTCTGTGCCTCCTCCGTAACAAAGTCATCATAATTCAACACATAGCAAAGTTCTTAGCAGGCATCCCAGGTGCCATCTATAATTTCATCATCTGATGAACACCAGATGGAAAGTAAAATAACCATGTGAAGAAAAAATGGAAAACTTTTCCTGCCAAAAAGAATACTGGCAACCATCCAGAATGGACTAGATTGCATCAAATCAAAGTAGAATCGGCATTGTTAACATTCAATACCACACACAGTTTCCTATATTCTTTGGCAGAAATGGTTAATTATTTGTTAGCAAGTTTTGAAATAAAGCTTTGAAAGAAGAAACAAACAATGCCATTAATATTTAAAACCTCAAATGAATGTTTAAGAGATTACACATTCAAAACCTTTAATTGTTTCCCAAACCTTGGGAACCGAGTGTACTTAAAAGTTTACACATCAATAAGCAAGTGATTCATAATCATACACGGGCTTGGTGGTGAAACGTTGCAATGAAATGATTGACAAATCTAGCAGTGGTTTGTGAACAAATGACTAGCAGTGAATCTAAAAATAATATCAGCAGCATTTCTGCTCTGTGTTAGCAATGAAGTTCTCATCATACATCTACAGAAGGAAGCCAAAAACATAAAAAGAACAATCAGCTAGAGGGTTTTATTTCGATGTTCCTTAAGTAACTGAAGTGATGTGGTTGCATCCATCTACCTCCTTTAATTTAAAAGTATCGAAGCAGTGCCTGTAACTACTAACCTTGATGACTTGAGAAGAAGAGCGAATCACAACCCTAGCTGGCTTCCTTCTTCAACCCCACCCCACAAAAAAGTCGGAACAGTTCTCATTCGCTACGATGTTTCGGTGTTGCAATAAAATTTGGAAACAGAACCAGTTAAATCATATCTCATTCGAAAATGTCGAAGCACATGACATGTAAGAAAGCAACTAGGCTCTATTCTACCATAAAATAATTTCACTGAACATTACATCTATTACTGTTTCAAATCCCTAGATAACCAACAAAAAATATAGAGTAAAAAAAGGCCCTAACATCCGATGCCATTTTACTTGGTGGGGATTCCTAGTAACTCAAATTACAAACCCACCCCTCAGAGATCACCGAATTTACAGAACTACCGCTACAAGCACTACACTCTATTCCTCTCCTCGATCATTCCTCACTTCTTTCCTTTCTTCGCTGCTACTTTCTTCTTCGGGACGCCGACGCCCTTCGGCTTAATAGTTTTAGCCGGTGCCTTCTTTGACGTGGCTTTGGTTGTCACCGCTTTCTTTCCAGGAGATGTTCTCGATGAAGTCCTCAGAGCCTTAACCGGTCTCTCCTTGGCCTTGGGCTTTGCCGGTGTCGTCTTAGGTTTTGCAGCAGCGGTTTTAGCCTTAACTGGAGCGGCCTTTGGTTTTGCCTTGGCGGTAGCCTTTGGCTTAGCAGCTGCAGCTTTTGGCTTAGGCTTCGGCTTGGGCTTGGCAGCTGCTTTAGACTTCGCCGGTGACTTAACCGTCGACTTGGTAGACTTGGTTTCCTTGGCCTTGGGAGCAGCTGGCTTAGATTTAGCCTTGGGCTTGGCAGCAGTTGCCGGCTTCTTTTTAGCCGGAGAAGCAGCAGCTGCTTTAGCTGGAGCGGATGATTTAGCCGATGGAAGCTTGAAGGATCCTTTGACTTTAACAATCTTACCGGCAGCCACGAGCTTCTTCAAATGAAACAACAGAAGCTTCTTAAAATTTGATGGCAGTTGTTTGTGTTTCTCTTCGAGAAACTTGGTAATCGCGTACTGGCTCGAACCTGTCTTCTCTTTCAATGTCACTATAGCATCCTTGACCATCTACGAAAATCAGGGGAAAAAAATCAGATCCAAAATTCAAAAAAAAAACTTATGTTAAAACAAAAATTGAATCTCGTGTTACGAAATGTTACCTCTTCATAAGGAGGGTGAGCGGAAGGGGAACGAGGATGGAGTTTTTTAGGGGCAGGAGCTTTTTTGGCTTTAGGTTCCTTGGCTTTTCTAGCTCTGCTGGGTTTGGTGGCCGGCTTATCATCAGCTGGTTCAGAAGTTGGCGGCTCAGTGCTGCCATCGACGGTGACAATGGGTTCGTCAGAGGACATTTTTTAGAGAATTGGGATTCAATTAGGGTATGAGAGAAGAGAGGGGATTGAATCCAATGAAGAACTGGGTAAGGAGGAGATTAGATTGGATCTGGTGGTGTCTGGTTCGCTGGCGATTCTTGATTTTTTTTTCCGCTTGTGTGAAGAAGATGACGGAAATTATGGGATTTAAATAGTCAAGGGAGAGCAGGACGGTATCCGAAAGTTGGGTTCTGATTGGTGGAGAGAGTTAGGAAGCGGATCGCCCCCTTTGTTCAGGTTTGAATATAAACCGTTGGATATGGATTTTATCTACGGTTGACTGTTGGAGACTTATGGGAGGGGTGGATGGGAGGATGAGGAGTGAATGGTGAAACTTTGCTGAAGTGGGTGTGCTTTTAAGCTCAATTAAATTGAGCGTAACTTGAGCTAGAGTTAATTGATTTTGCTGAAATTTTTTGCATTGTGTAGGTAATTATATGAGGTTTCTAATGAGTGGCGTAACATTTTCTGAGGATGAGTAGTTTGGGAGAAAATTGAGTTTGAAGCTGTGATGCTCAAAAGTAGGGTTTTGTTTGATGTCATTGAGGTCTTGGGAAAATTCAGACGAATGCTTGGATTTAATTCTGGTTTTTTTTGTGCCATTTACTAGTAGGGTAGCAAAGGAATCTATTGACCCAAGAATCATGGAATTCTATTGAGATTTGGGTGGGAAACTATTGATTGGAAAGACAATGAAGTTGAACACATCCTAGCTCTAAGAGTGTCGTGTCCAGGTGCCACTATAACATTTGTGTGATGTCTGCATCTGCTGGAAAAATGAATTGATTCATTGTTTTCAATCTGTGAAGGCACTGCTGGTGATCAACTGGAGTATAAATGTGATTGAATGCAGTGTGATTGAATCAATGATTCATACAAGATCATTTAGCCGATCATTTTCAAACATCATGTGGAAATTTCTTGGGTAAACAAGTCATATGGAACCCCAGTATGCTATTTGCATCACATCAATGTCTACTACTCACTCTTGTGTGAAAATCAATGTCTAAAAACCATCCTTGCAGATGTATATTGCATCTCTATCTGGGAATTTATCGTGTTAGAATTTACTGTGCTTGATCATTTGTTTACTTTTACCATTGTTGTTCATCAGTTTGTCAATGCAACAAAGTCATTGAGCAGTAGCTTGACTCCAAAGACGATACAAATGCATTTACATCTCTTCAATTCACCGAATTATCGTCAAGAAAATCATAGACACTTCTGCTAAACCATGAATTTAATTGCATGAATGTGTAAATTAAGGACAAAGTAAATGCTGTCTAACCAGTCCTGTCAAACACGCTGGTAATTCACTTCAATGCGCTTCATTCTGTATCGGGAACCAACATATAGTTCTCTGATGTTGAAATCTCGTAAATCCATCTTCTGGCTTGCAATCAAAAGACTAACGAGTGCCTAATCGATTCATGTATGTACAGTAAGTATTTAACTTGTGGTGATATATTAAGCGGTATGTGATCCTAGCACAAAAGAATGCTTCTTATGCAGGCATCACTGCTTTTAACCACAAATGAATTGCATCAGCAACATGTTTCAATTCTAAAAATGCATAGGCTTCCAGATGTGATCCACTATTTTAGCATCCAGGTCGAGAATAACTCAAGAATGCATATAAAATGCTGATGAATGTTCATTGGATGACATGAATATTTGCAAGTAGTGCTTCTTGTTCTTTATATATGGCTAAGATTGAACTGGGGCATCATCGTGGCTGCACAAAGCATCTCATCATGATTAGCAGACTAATTGGAATCAACCATGATTCGCGATGCTCTATTATCTTGTATTTATTTTATTTATCCAACATATTCATGTTGATTTTTCTTAAAAAATTAGCATCCATGTTTAGTTTAGATTCACTATCCATGGTGCGTCTGTTAAACTGGTTATGATGCCCTGGTTCTTCTATAGCACATTCACTGTCAAAGCTAACAATGTTTCGACACAAGGCATGTAAATTTTGGTTAGAACTTCTCTCCACTGACAATGTTTTAGTTGAAATGCCAAAAATGCGATGGTGTATGATTCATCTGTTAGCAAGAACAAAGGTATACAGTTTACCTACCATAACAGGGATATATAGAATTCTTTACATGGCATGAAAGCTTGCAAGAAGGCGTGTGTATCAGCGATTGAATCTTATGCAACTCACAAAGGTCTTCTATCTTTGTTATTTCACCCTCAACTCTTTCCTTTTTGAATCCATTTAGAGTTCCATTTATTGAATACAAGGATGACCCTCAAATTTAAGCTAAGAATTGACTGCAGATTTAGAGACTGGTTTGTCTCCACAATAACATCTCTCGACTCTACGTTCTCAATTAATCAGGTTTACTCAGGAGTGATGGCATGAAAAACCAAGACTAAGACCGAGTCAGAACATGAAATGTACAGGCATGTGAAAAAATATTGTGACTTCTCCAAGCCAATCCTCGCTGCTCGCTAGCACATTCGTTAACAAGAATGAAGAATAATATCACCTAGATATAATATAACCTTAGGTATAGTTTAACTTATCAATTTATAGATTTGTTTATTAAAAATTACTAATTTAAATTTTATAAATTTTTTAATTAATGAAAGCTTATATTCAGTGGCGAAGGCAGGAGAGGCAAGCAGGCCTTAGCCCCTGTAAAGAAATAATTTTTTTAGCTCCTTCTTTAATAATATTTATATTTATAGCCTAAATAATAAAATAATTAAAATTTTGGTTCCTCTTAATTATATTTTTTTAGTTCCACCCATGTTTATATTATTGCTAAGGCATATAAAATTAATTAAAGTGTGCGCAAGCGAATAACTTGAATATCCATGTTAATTAAAATAAAAATAAAAAGAAGAATAACTTATATTTTTAACTTGAAAATTTTTCCTTGAAAGATAAAATATACTTGAGGACCATCATTGTAGATTCAAATTTACAGGCTTGTTACATATCTACTACATACTCTGCAAGCCACTGGACAAATAATTCAGTTTGTGCTTAATAGTATGGTAGTTTTTGTAATTATAATTTAAAAAAAAATACTTTTAATTATGATATAATTTTTTTCGTGCAAAATAAATAAAAAGTAAGATTTCATAAATGAAAAAACATGTTATTTTAACTTCTATAAAAATAAGATTTAAAATGCAACTATGTATAAAATACAATGCAAAAAAACAAAAGTTATTTAGTTAATCAATCAGTTTTATCTTTATGGTTCGACAAAAAATAGAAGCTACTATAATACTAAACAAACACTTAAAAATTTAGATATTGTCTACTTTTTTTCTCAATAAAATATTTGATACACAAGCTTTTTCAACATGTTTTTACAGTTAAAAAAATTTTAAATAAAAACCGAAAAGTTTATATATATATATAATCAAACAAACTGAGAATTATATATGTTAATAAATAAAAAAATCATAAATAATAACTAAAAACAAAACTAAAAAAATAAAAAAAAGGTGTAATACATGTGTTTTTTGTAATATGGGAATGTTCTTATAGGCTTTTTAATAATTCTAATAATTAAAATATTAATAAATCAATATAAAAAAAAAGATATGATACACATGCCTCAGTGCATTATCATCCTCCTAACAAACTAATGGAGCATGGGATGTATTATGATGATTAAAATACATTGATCGTCATATCATTCGACATGTCAGGTTGTGACAAAGTTGTTGGCTTGACGTGTTAGCCCAGTTAGTAGTGATAGAGATTTTTTCTCTTACCATTCTTTTTTCTCTCTTGTGCATTGGTTTTCATGTCAAATCTTTAAAAACTTAAATGTGGTTTTTAGTTTGTATTTGTTTTAAATTTATTCCTTATTTTTTTATTTATTTTAATTTTAAGGCTTCTTGAATTTATTTATTTTTGTTTCATTTTCATCCATTTGCATTTTATTTCATATAATTTTTTTTATCTAATTTGGTCATTATTTTTCTAGTTGCTACTTTTTTTATCCTTTGCATTAAATTTTTTTTATATCATTTTTTAGAGTTTAATTTAATATTTTTTTTATTTCCAATTTTAATCCTTATTTTTTATTGCTTTTTATTTCATGCTTTTCTTCATTTATTTTTTTTTCAATCCCTAATTATTTTCTTTCATTTATTTTTTTGTGCATGATTTAGTCCTCATTGTTTTTATTTTTTTTTTTTAATTTTTTTGTGATTAACAATTTTTCTTTGTTATTTTTTCATGTTTTTCTTCTACAATCATAACCCGATCCTTCAGTTTTGATGATCAGCTCAATTTAAGTTTGGTCTTCTTTTTAAATCCTTTTTAAAGTTTGATTTTGTTTATTTCATCAATTGATATTGACTTATCAGGCATTGAATTTCATGACTTATTTTGATTTTTTTTATGAGGTTATTCATATCTCATATTTTGGGTCGCTTGTTATTAAAGTTAAATTAGGCTGGCTCGGTTTTTTTTCTTTTATCATCTAGTATTTTTTTTTCTATTTTTGAGGGGATTTTTTTTATTTTTTAAGAGTAATATGGGCTGCCTCAAGTTTTTTTTTTTTTGATCTACCTCTTTTAAAATAATTTTTTTTAATTAGATTTTATCATTCAATATTAAATTGATCTTATATTGCCTTGACTTTTTTGGTACTTTTTGTTAGATCTTGTTCTTTTAACATTTTTTTTAATTAAATCAATTTATCTCACCTTTCAATATTAAATTTTTTTTGTATTGAGCCTAGGTTTTAAATTTAACAGTTTTTTACTTTAAAAGATTAATCTAAGTTTAAAAAGTTCATCGAGATTCGCTTGGTTTTTCCCTTTTTTTATCTCAATATTTTCGGTTCCGTCCCCAAATTTTCTCTTACTTCTTCATTTTTATTTCAATTTCTATGGGATTTTTCATTCATTTTGAAAAAAAACACAAATTACCTAGTTTTTTTTTTGCTTCGTTTAATTTAGTTTTTCTACGAGGATTTTTGCTTTTGAATTAAATATAAGCATAAAATATTTCGATCCTTTATTCCAATTATTTTTAAGATCGTGGATCCCTTGGGTTACAAGTCAATATGTTAGATTGAGCATTTTGAGCATCATATGGTGTATTTTGATTTTTGTTTTCAAATATAATCCCACTCACTTGATTTTT